AACAAAACAAGACAATAATAGAAAAAGACCCTGATTTTTCTCTTTCTATGAATGCTCATACAACTTCATCGTTTTCTCTTTAAATACTTTTTTTAACTGAAATATGTTTTTACATTGCTTTAACTCATTCTGTAGAGAGTTCCAGAGTTTCACTCCCACCACTGAAGTACACATTTGTTTTAAGGTTGTCCTTGCAAATTGATGCCTAAAATGCCCTTTCCTTCTTCCTTCATTCTCTATAAGGGTAAACATTTTTTGTAGATTTGTTGGTAGTACTTTATTTTTTGCCTTGAACATAACCACTAGTGTCTGTAATTCAACAAGTTCATTAAATTTCAAGAGTTTAGAGTTAAAAAATAAGATATTTGTGTGCTCTCTATTATCTGTTTTATGTATGATTCTGATGGCTCTTTTCTGTAGGAGATATAATGACCTTGTGTTGCTTTGGTATATGTTTCCCCACACCTCCACACAGTAGTTGATGTAGGGTAACACAAGTGCACAATACAAAGTTCTCAATGCCTTATACTCTAACACGTTTTACCTTATTTAATACAAAAATACTCTTGGACATCTTTTTTTGTATGTGTGAGATATGCGATTTCCAAGTCAACCCTTCATCTAGGAGCACACCCAAGAACCTAATTTCCTTAACTCTTTCAATGCTTGTTCCTGCTATTGAAAGTACAATATTTTCATCTTTTTTTCTTTTACCAAAAATCATAAATTTTGTTTTCTTTAGGTTTAAAGATAATTTATTAATATAGAACCATTCCTTAAGTTTAACCATTTCTTGTTCCATACTCTTTACCAATTCCTTTAAATCATTTCCGGAGCTGTAAAAGTTTGTGTCATCTGCGAATAGAACAAAATTTAATAACTTAGATACATCACAGATATCGTTAATGTAAAGTATAAATAATTTTGGTCCTAAAACTGAACCTTGTGGTATTCCACATTGAATTTGCATGTGATTGGATGTGTTATTAGCATACTGAACATACTGTTGTCTTTTATCCAAATAACTACTTAACCAGTCTAATACTATGCCTCTCACACCATATGAATGTAGCTTTGATAACAGGATGGAATGATCAATTGTGTCAAATGCTTTCTTTAAGTCGATAAAAACACCTATTGTGTATTTCTTGTTGTCAGTTGCAGTTACTATGTCCTCAATTATATTCATTACAGCTGAAGCAGTAGATCTATCTGAACGGAATCCATACTGGCTCTCATTCAACAACTGGTTCTTTTCGATAAACTCATCTAATTTTTGAACAAAAATTTTTTAAAGCACTTTAGAAAAATGAGATAATAATGACACTGATCTATAATTTGTAAACATATGCTTATCCCCATCTTTATATAGTGGGACAACCTTTGCTACCTTCATCCTATTTGGGAAGGTCCCTGTTTGAAAAGAAAGATTAAAAATGTAATTTAGAGGTTTGACAATGCAGTCAATGGTTTTTTTCACAATGATCATGTCTAACCCATCCTTATCTGTAGATGTCTTATTTTTTAATACATTTACTATAGATAGAATTTCATTTTCATTGACGTCTCCCAGAAACATTGACTGGAGTACTCTACTGCCCCTTGTCCATCCATTCTGTACTGGCCCCGTGTCATGTTTTTCAATGGTCTCTGCTAGCTTAGGTCCTACATTTACAAAAAAAGAATTAAATTCATTTACTACTTTGTTTATGTTTTTAATTTTCTTGTTATCCTCGTTTAAAAAGTGGCTTGGTGGGCTGGTCTGACCCGATGTACTTTTCCCCATTACCTTATTCAAAATATTCCATGTTCCTTTAATATCAGTTTTATTTTTTTCTAATAGGTTACTAAAATAATCTTTTTTCGCTTGTCTCATTATTGTTGTTAATTTATTTTTATACAGCTTATACTTTGTTTCTGCTTCCTTTGTTCTGGATTTTATAAAGTCTCTATAGAGTTTATTTTTCTTTTTACATGCATTCTGTAGTCCCCTTGTAATCCAAGGGTTTTTGCCATAGCTGTCCTTATGTTTACATTGTACATTTGGACAATGCTTGTCATACAATGAGAGATATTTATCTAGAAAAGCTTCATATGCAGCATTTACTTCCCCTACATACACCTCCTTCCAGTCCTGCTCATCCAAGTCATTTCTAAACCTGCAGATTGCTTCATCTGTCCTTTTTCTGACATATTTAGTCCTATGGGCTGCTTCTTCCTCATTATTTATTTGACAGTCATAAATACAGAATACAGGTAAGTGGTCGCTTATATCATTGATTACCAAGCCACTTTTGATTTTACTTTCTAAAACATTAATAAAGATGTGGTCGATCAGTGTCGCACATGTTGTTGTTATCCGACTGGGCTTGGTGATCAATGGGTATAACCCTCTACTGTATAGTGTCTCCAAGTAGTCACTGACTGATGCTTATCTATGTGCACTCAACAGGTCAATGTTTAGGTCCCCACACAAAATATATGTTTTCTTTTCATTAAGCTGACACTACTTTTTCTAAATTTTCATTAAACGTTTCTATTTTCAATCCAGGTGTCCTGTAAATGCACGTAACAACAACATTCCTCTTCTTTTCCATATCAATCTCCACTGTAATACATTCAAATAAATCATTGATGGCCATTGTCATACATTCTACAATTCTGCATTTCAGGTCGGTGTTCACAAATAGGGCAACACCGCCTCCCCTCTTATTTCTTCTACTGCAGTGGTGCAATTCATAACCTTCCATACAGAAATCTACACCGCGATCTTCATCAACCCATGTTTCTGACAGCGCTATGGCTGAAAATTTATGTTTTAAAGACCTCAAGTATTCCTGAATCTTGGTAAAGTTTGCATATAAGCTTCTACAGTTAAAGTGTATTAATGAAAATTTGTTTTCCAGGCTAACCGTGTCATTAAACTTTTCTTCTGCATAGTAATCACACATGGAATTCATTGAATTAATCAAGTGGTTTTCTGGGTCAATATTGCATTCAAAATCATACAACTTGTAATCTGTGTATTCAGCTCTTGACAGTGTATGACCCCCTGAGGACAGGGGGAGATCAGTAGTCTCAATCATTTTCTATAAACAAAATACTAATATTACGAAACATATTCATTATATTTACAACTCCTGAGTGGTCTACGCGTTCCAACACCCATACAGTAACGCGCAATGCAATATTGCCACTCCTCTCTAAGACGCAGCGCATGACGCGAGGAGATCCTGATATTATCTGTGGAGTACAGTTTGGTAGTTGGATGACAAGTCCGTGCTACTATGCGCATAGCTTGTGTCGTGATATTTTGTGGGGAGTACATTATAAAAGAGGTTGGCCTTCCTAACACCATCACCATACAGACTTAAAAGGAAAAAAAAAAAACATTTTTAAATGGCATATGAACTGCATTTAACGGGCCAGACGCGCTTACTGGAGTTTCTTGCTCAACAAATAATCACTTATAGTCAATTCATCCAGCTTATTTGACATGTTTATCACTGAAGAGCCTCTCCACGGGTGCACTAGACGGCGTTGGTTTTGTCAAACCGTTTGATGGCTTTTTTAAGACCTTACATAACGCAAATAATGACATAATTGTTTAATAAGTAACTCTAATGTGATTACTGAATTTAGAAACAGTAACACCTTACATTAGTGCATTAGAGACAAATGTAATGTGATTACAGTATTGCTTTACTTGGTTACACATTAACAGCTGACACTGGTGAGCGGAGATCCCTACCTGTGTGTCAATCTCCTGCGGGAGAGTGTGCTGTTGGATCCAGGGATGGACCTCAGCCAGCTCCTCTCTCTGCTCCTGGCTGAACCAGGGCTGGAGAGGCTGGAGCACTCGAAGCTTCTCCCTGTCCTCTGCCAACACCTCGGTCTGGTCCCTATAGAGACAAGATACAAGACAAGGACAAAGGGTTAAATGACATCCTACACATATAAAACAAAACTTTTTTTCTGGAAATTACACTCAAAAAAGTGAGACTGTCTTATGTTCAAGGATTAGACAATGTCATTACACAGTCATATCAGTAGAGGGAGCCTGTACAGCTAAACCTCATCCTTGCCTTGAGCAGCAGTAAAGACACAGTGATAGTTCAGAAAAATGACTTTCTCAGCAGTTTGCCATGTTTGAGAGGTTGCTATGATGCTAATGCTAGCATAAGGGGGAAATGGAGAGTCATCAAACAACTGTCAAGCAGCCGTACTGTGTCACACAATGGCATTAAAGGCCAAAAGAAATGCCAAAGCAAATGCTGACATTTATTTCTGTACATCATGAGTGGAATGGAACCTGAAAGAGAGGTGTACCTGGTGTGGATCTGGTACGTCATCATGACACGCTCAGGCGTGTGCTGGATCATGCCCCACAGTGAGTTATCCACCCGAGTGTCAAAGTTGTGTTGGTGCTCTGGCGGTGCCTCCTGGCTCTTACGGGCTTTGCGTGATGTGTCTGATGAATCGTTGCTGGCAAAATATTTGCTGCTGTTGCTGCTGCCTGTAAGCCAAGAAATTTTAAATCAATCATTAATTAATTTTCTGCAGATTGCTGTCAACTATAATCGTTTTTTACAAATGCTGTCGAACAGTGGTTGTTTCTGTGTCTACTGTCTGCGTGTGTGTGTTTTCCCTGTTACCTGTGTGTGAGGTGGAGGTTCCATTGGAACCTGATCCAGAGCCAGATCCCAGGGAGCCTCCAGACTCCCCTGACCCAGACCCTGAGGCGTTAGAGCCGGTGCCTGACCTGGCATCCTCCTGCAGCAACATGTCAAGCAGCTCACTGGATGTAGACTGGGCATCATGGTTCCCAGACTCACTGGGGTTATCACCCTGAGGGTAAAGGTTTAACACTTAGAACTATGCCAAGTACTTATGGTGTGATTACAAGAGGAGAGCGACTGTATGTACTGGGTATCAAGTTGTACTAGGCATGTATGACTGACCTGGCTGTCATGTTGTTCATGGAGGCTCTCTGCGTGGTTGTGCCCGGTGCTGCTCTGTCCTTCACTTGGCTTTGGCAGCTCCTCCTGCAACAAGTTCAGCTGCAGAGGAGAACTTGAGCGAGAACTGGAGAATAAAGCCCGAGGCCCAGCTGCCTCCTCCTCTTCCCCGACAGAGGAGCTGGCTCTGGGTGAGCAGAGCAAAGGGCCCATGCAGGTCTGAGCGAGGGGGTTAGGCTGGGCTTGGAATTGGGGCTGAGGGAATGGGACACTGCCAGAAGCAAAGCTTGTCATGGTGACAGGTGCCTGAGGCAGCATGGAGGGCGCAGACAGTGGGTAAATGGACGGGTAACCTGGAGTGAATGTTGGGCAGTTGGGCAGGATGACAGCCATGACCGGAGTCATGTAAGGGTTGATGCCCTGGGCTGTAGCCATGGGCTGCAGGTTGTGAAAGTTCTGGATATTCTGCAGATTCTGAAAGGGCTCCATCTGGATTGGCTGCATCCCCGGCATGCTCTGAGCAGACTGCATGATGTTGAAGCTGTAGCTGAGCTGGGTTTGGTCAGGAGGCTGCAGTCCCATGGGGGTTGGTCCAGGCAGCTGTTGTGGTCTGGGCGGTTGCTCTGGGCCAGGCTGCGATGCCATCACGGGGAAGAATGGTGCCTGGAGTGGAGATGTTTGGCTGAAGGGTGCCCCGATTTGGGGTTGGGAGGACTCTGAGGAGGGCCAGGAGGAGTCTGGGACATGGCGAAGGGGGCCAGCTGGGGAAGCGTAGCTGTCTGAGGAACCCTGGGGTTTGGGGCGCTTGTGTCTGGGCTTTCCTCTCCGAGAGCGGTTCAACCCACCGGCGCTCACTGGATGTAGGTAGTCGCCTGTAGTGAGATGGACACAGGTTGCACAATAAGCTTGATCAAAACCAAAGTGTCCCGTAAAAAATTATATTCAGTAATCAAAAAGAAAATACATACCTGGGTGGTGGGAGTGAGCCATAGAGCTGTTGTCCAACTGCAGATATGAGCTGTAGGGGCTCTGGAGAATGCGATGGCGGAATCGATCCACATACTCTTGCTCCTCCTTCTGGGTGTGAGCTGACAGCACCTCCTTGGTGAGCCCTACAAACCTTGGTTCCTCTGTGGCTGGGCTTGGGGCGGGACGGACGGGGGTCGGAGCAGCATCAGCAGGCTCACTGCCCATTGGGGCGTCCTCCAGTGCCGTGGCCTCTGTGGGAGAAAATTGAGGGGAAAAACATGTTCAGTAGTTTACAGGTATTTCTTCCCCCAGAATTTCTACACAAGAGTGATCCAAAGCTCTTAGAAATAAAATGAAACACCCATTTGCAGTTTATTAAAATGTAAAATTTACAGAACAGTTGAAAAAGGGCATCTGAGGGACCCCATGATCTGACACAAAGATGTAAAGGTATGTTTATGTACCTGATTCAGGCTGTGGCACATGGACAATGGTGCTGCTGTACGAACACTGGCTGGTGACAGAGACTACACTCATGGCCTTAGTGGACATTGTGATGTCTGTCAGAGGCGCTCCAACGACTGCTGCTGCCGTCGGGGCCACTGACGCTGCACTGTCCAGCACCACTGGAAAGTGAGGAGAAGGAACAAGATAGGAATATTACACAAGGAATATTACAAAACATTAAGTTAAGTGATTGTGTGATGCATGTGGTCTGTTTGTACCATCTGAGCTGGCCTGAGCTGTGTCAGTGGCTTCAGCAGGCTTGTCGTCTTCTGAGGTAGAGGATGAGGAAGAGGAGGTGTCCAGGGAATGAGAGTCACTCTTTCGTTTGAGGGCTGGGCCTGTACAACTCTCCAAATATCTGGAACACACAAACACACATAGTTAATAGTCTGACAGGAATTGGGTGCTTTACCACATACAGTTGAAACCAGAAGTTTACATACACTATATAAAAAGGCACATAACCTTTTTTTTCTCACCGTCTAACATTAAATCAGACTAAACTTTTCCTGTTTTTGGTCAGTTAGGATTACCAAAATTATTTCTATTTGCTAAATACCAGAATAATGAGACAGATCATTTTTTAGACAATTTTTTATTACTTTCTTGAGAGTCAGAAGTTTACATACACTAAGATTAGTATGCCTTTAAACAATTTGGGAAAGCCCACATGATGATGTCATGTCTTTGGAAGCCTCTGATAGGTTTATTGACAACATGTGGGATAATTAGAGGCACACCTGTGGATGTATTTTAAGGCACACCTGAAACACACTGCTTCTTTGTGTAACATCATGGGAAAATCAAAAGAAATCAGCCAAGACATCAGGAAGAGAATTGTGGACTTGCACAAGTCTGGTTCATCCTTGGGTGCAATTTCCAGATGCCTGAAGGTGCCACGTTCATCTGTTCAAACAATTATACGCAAGTATAAACACCATGGGAATGTCCAGCCATCATACCGCTCAGGAAGGAGACGGGTTCTGTGTCCCAGAGATGAACGTGCTTTGGTCCGAAATGTGCACATCAACCCAAGAACAAAAGCAAAAGACCTTGTGAAGATGCTGGCTGAAGCTGGTAAGAGTGTGTCATTATCAACAGTGAAACGAGTCCTGTACCGACATGGGCTGAAAGGCCACTCTCCCAGGAAGAAGCCATTACTCCAAAAGAAACATAAAAAAGCCAGATTACAGTTTGCAAATGCACACAGGGACAAAGACCTTAATTTTTGGAGACATGTCCTGTGGTCTGACGAAACTAAAATTGAACTTTTTGGCCATAATGACAATCGTTACATTTGGAGGAAGAAGGGGGAAGCTTGCAAGCCTAAGAACACCATCCCAACTGTGAAACATGGGGGTGGCAGCATCATGTTGTGGGGTTGTTTTGCTGCAGGAGGGACTGGTGCACTTCACAAAATAGATGGCATCATGAGGAAAGAACATTATGTGGACATACTGAAGCAACATCTCAAGACATCAGCCAGGAAGTTAAAGCTTGGGCGCAAATGGGTTTTCCAAATGGACAATGACCCTAAGCATACTGCCAAACTGGTTAGAAAGTGGCTTAAGGATAGCAAAGTCAATGTTTTGGAGTGGCCATCACAAAGCCCTGATCTCAATCCTATTGAAAATTTATGGGCAGAGCTGAAAAGGCATGTGCGAGCAAGGCGGCCTACAAACTTGGTTCAGTTACACCAGTTCTGCCAGGAGGAATGGGCCAAAATTCCTGCAAACTATTGTGAGAAGCTTGTGGAAGCATATCCAAAACGTTTGACCCAAGTCATACAGTTTAAAGGCAATGCTACCAAATACTAATGAAATGTATGTAAACTTCTGACTCTCAAGAAAGTAATAAAAAATTGTCTAAAAAATGATCTGTCTCATTATTCTGGTATTTAGCAAATAGAAATAATTTTGGTAATCCTAATTGACCAAAAAACAGGAAAAGTTTAATCTGATTTAATGTTAGACGGTGAGAAAAAAAGGTTATGTGCCTTTTTATATGGTGTATGTAAACTTCTGGTTTCAACTGTAATAAACTGAAATAGAGTTTACTGCTAACTGTCAGTTATTGACCACTGAGCCTGACATTGTGATTTAAAAGCGGTGGCACTTAGGCATTCATTTTGTATTTAAAAAAGTAGCAATTCTGATTAATCTATCAGATGAACTGTAGGCTGCCAGATGTGTGAAGTGATTCTCTTTTTAGCCATCGTGAAGACATCGTCCAACCCTAACCTGAAACATCTGAAGAGCAGCATGCTGATGCAACCACCACACACCTGATGATGTTGTCCACACAGTTGATCTGCTGATAGGATGGAATATGTGTTTGCTTCCTGCTTTCTTCGTGATTTCTGACCTCAGGGTTGGAGACCACTGGCGGCATTCGTGCTGGGAGAATTAAGGGTCATTTCAGCAATATTAAAATATTTGCACACTTTATATCAATATATCTTTATGTATTTGTACTTGTGGCAGCATTACCTGCAGCTGGTTTGCCAAGAAGAGCAATTTTGTGGTTGGTACCCAGATAAGCCTGCTGGCCCCAACTCTTGACTCTGTTCACATCAGCACAGATCTGCTGTAAAGTCATCTGCAATAACACACACACACACACACAATGTATCAGCATGATTAAGCTTGGCAGCAGGGCTACCACTGGCTTCCTGGCTTGTGGTATCACTGTGATGTCTCACCGGCTCCCGGTGAGTGTCCTCCCACAGGTTTCCATTGCTGTCACTTGAAGAAGCCACGCTGATGTAGTGCTCATGAGAGCCGTTGCTCCCCAAACTGCCGTAACCGCTGGAACCATTATTATGAACCGGCTGTGAAAGAGAGACACAAAAAAATTGAGGAACTCTGACACACAGTTAGAAAGATAAACAAAAAATAAAGTAAGAGCTGTATGTGTTTGTGTGTGTTTGTGTGTGTGTGTGTGTGAGAGATGGTGGCCACTTTTACTTGTTTTATGTTGTGCTAAATGATATATATGTGATAAATATTTGAATGATAATTGTTATTTAGTGGTGAAATAATGACCTGCAGGAAGAGCTTGTAGATATTTGCTTGAAGATCTTTAATCTCTTCAAAGGCTACTGGGACATTGTCCTTTGACGGAGCAGCAAACACATCTTCATTCAATGAACTCCTGGAGGCAAAAGACGACAGCACAGTGATGTCACTTCATTGAATGAGTCTCTTAGCAGCAACAGCACTTTCCCATAAAACAGGCAGATAACAAGACAGACAGTGCAAATACTAAACCCTCCACCTGAGCACACAGAAAGCACTGAAACTTTATTTGTGATTATAAAGCTTTGATATGGTTTAATTTTATACTGTCGCTACTTACGTCCTGACTTTATGCCGTCCAATGATGAAGGCCACCTTGCGGCTCCAAGGGTTGATGAAACTGGACCAGCTGGTGTCCAAGGTGATGTGGTCTCCATTCTGACAGCGCAGACGCATCGGAGAGTGCTCAAAAGGAGACTGGCCCGCATACTTCAACACTACACATGCCACAAAGAGTTTGAGTGAAAAACAGAACAACAGGGGAGGGGTGACAATATAAGCCTAGTCCACACACAGCTCTTTATGTATGGACAGTTTCTTTCTTTTTTAGAGCAGAGGAGGCAAAACCCTAGTTTTCATAAGATAAGATAAAGGTGCATCTTATCTTATGAAAACTGGGTTTTTTGCTTCCTCTGCTCTAAAAAAGAAAGAAACTGTCCATACCTGCACTGTCATAAAAAACACCTCCGTCCAAATGATGACGCAAAAACACAGTTGCAGGGCTGTCAAGAGCATGCTTAATCAAACAGCCAGCAATGTAAACTTATCCTAAAGCCACGCACAGAACAAGAAGTTAGCCTATCACAAGCCTACATAAACTACTACCAGAAGGAAACCTGGAGCAGTGACCTCTATAGTTCATTCTGACGCATCTGTTCCTTGATATAGTAGAACAGTAACATACATTTATGTGTAAACACGTAAAAAGTCCTGTTATTAATGTTAAAGCCAACACTACATCCACCATTGCACAACATGTTGCCTCATTTGTGAGGCCTCACAAAGGAGATAACGGCGTGCACACTGACATTGCAAGCCTAAAGCCCTGTTTTCCCTGTCAAGGGGAAAGGGTCTGTTTTCAATTACCTAAAATGCATTTCGCGTGTGAATGGAAAACCAAAATGCATAGAAATAGCTACATTTTCAAATATACTTGTGCACCTGTGGACTAGGCTTGCATCACTGATGCAGTCGACAATAAACAAAACTGTGTGAAACCTTGTGTGGATCCCACTTAAGGGAGCAACTAAGTACTTGTGTATTATTTTTTTCCATAAATCAATTAATTGTAAAAGTGTGTTCACTGTCAAAATCAATAACAAATTGTCATCTCAATATACTAAAACAATAAGGTCTATTTTTGGACTCTGTCCTTGAACACGTACCTTTTCGGTGCATAGACAGCATGAGGGGACGGTCATCTGGGTGAATGAAAGTCAACAACGACGTGCCAATCAAATCCTGGGGAAGGTATCCTAGCAACGGCACAGCCCTGTGGATTATGACCATCAAATGAGATTCATCAACACATTTCCATTTTTAAAGCTCAATGTGAAGTCTGATTGTACGTGGTTATGTTTGTGTGTGCACCAACCTGTCATCCACCTCCAGGAACACACAGCCGGGTGAATGCGTGGTGGTGAAGATGCGCTTGTCCATGGGGATCCGAGGTGCTGTGTGAGTGGATAAGATCAATGTCAGGAATACATGTTCAAAACCACAGTGTTAGGGCTTCAAAATAATCGCTGAGTGTGCCACCATGTAGTGTGAATTAAGGTCTCAGCCAATCAGGAAAGGACACCAATAATGGCTGTATCTTGTTTTCAGCTTCATGCTGTTCAGTGTAATTATTGTAGTTTCATATAGGTGGAATAGTGGTTAACTGCATAATAAATATGATCATTAGTGCATGTTTTCCTACTTGTGCATGTTGCAACATCTGATTACATCTTCTTTTCTTACAGCTCTTATTGGATTGTCTGTGATGATTGCATAATTGCATCTCTGGGATGGGAATGGATAGGCACTAAGCAACAACGTTTACTATTCATCAGTAAAAGGCTGTGTGAGTTGTGTGCAGTTTGTGGTGCTAATAATTATACCTTCATATCCAGAGATGATGCGTTCAGCCAGCGCCAGGCAGCATGGCTCCTCCTCTTCCCCAATGCTTCCTGTTCCCTGCACTGTCAGCAGGTAGGGTGTAACCCGAAATGGGTTGTAACGCATCTCACCCTCACGGTCCTTTCCGCCCCTAAAACATGGAATGATATTTTAATTTCTGCTGTGAAGTAAACATAGGCCATTTTACTCATTTAATATTATACACTGGGAAAAAAAGCTGACTACAGTCAAATCTACATCTTTCTTCTACAAAACAAACATTTTACAACAATGTATGCTAACTTGTTCTATATGTAGCTGTATGACTTACAAAGTCCTATGGGGTTGGCAGGATGTATGAGGAAATTAAAACATGACATTCCACTATGCTTTATTGATATCTAATGGTAGAGACTGGTGATTGTTGGTCATTTGTGATAATGTTCTTAAAGAGTTAGGTCTTTGAGAGAATGCACTATTTGTTTGTGGTGCTAAACCAAAGTTCATATAGTTCCAATGTTGAATACCTAAAGGCACAAATACAGCACACACACACACACAGATCATCAGGACATGGTTGACTAATCTTAATTTAACCAACATATTCTGGACATGTCAAACAAAAACATGCTCTGATGAAGGCCACCAGGCCAAGACATCATCGTGGTTTGTTTGACATTTACAGAATATACTGGTGAAATTGAGATTAGTCAACCCTGTACTGAAGATCTCTGTAGTAGTAGTAGTATCAAAAACTCTCCAGTCAAACACTACCTGCATTCAATCTTTTTTGACTCTCTGCAGGATCAACATACTGAACTACTGTATGCTGTTCACTGAGCCATTAGACGGTTCCTACATTTTACCACCGATTTTTAAAATGGCTAGACTCTTTCATTAAACCCATTAATAACTGATAACGTTAGCCATGTAATGCTAACAGTTAGCCCAGTCACTGTGTATGCGCAGATGAACTCACTGTCCTCACTCTCTGTCATGTGGTGAAGCAGAGTATAGCGTATGGACAGAGTTGGCAGTTTAGAGTGCCGAGATATCACCAAGACTTTCAAGTATGGTTATACTACACACTACTCCATTCACATTATGGGAAATAAAATTCTCTTTTGGTATCGGTCTCACTTTAAGGGTACTGATATCCTAAGTTTTTTTTAAAACTGTATCCACTGTGCCGCTTTTTTACTTTTAGTTATTCGTGACTGAACGATCTGAAAGAACCTGTGAGGTTCATATTTTGTGAACACCCAGATTTATGGGAGGCTGAGAAAAGGAAAGATCCTTAAGATACTAACCTGATTCTGCAGAAGAAAGACTTGACCTGGGTACAGTCAAACAGGACCCCCGCTGTCAAGACAAACAACAGAGAAAAGTGAGTTATCTGCAAGTTATTTACAGTTTTATACAAAACTAGAATAACCACCTCATGGCTGTACTGTATGCTTCTGCGAACTAGTCAGGTTGTAGTTACAGTTCACAGCCATGCCTGTGAAAACATGAGTGCTTCACACACAATCGGCACAGATTAGTGTGACCAATTTAGTATCTGACCAAATGTCTCCCCTTCTGTTCCTGATATGATGTTGAATAATCACCACAAGAGTGTTTTTACAGAACAATATGATGTCACAATAAAGTTTACTTTTGACCTTCTGGATATAAAATGTCATCACTTCATAATCATATGCTATCAGGTATTTGTGTGACATGTTTAGTGAGGTCACAGTGATCTTGACAGTGACCACCAAATTCTAATCAGCTCATCTTTGACTGTAAGTTGATTTTTGTACCAAATGTGAAGTAATTCCCTCCAGGTGTTCTTGAGATATTGCCTCCAAAAGTACGGGACAGATGAACTGACATATGTACAGACAACCCAAAGCATAATTCTCCTGGCCACAGCTGTGTAAGTATACATATACAGTAACATGTTCAAAATGTAATAAATGTGGTCCAAACATACCCGTATGCGAGTTGCTCCAAGGTGGCAGATGCGGCTGAGCCGTGTGTGAGTAGAAGACATTAACATCTTGGTGGTAGAGCAGCTCCACAAACTTGGCCGACTCCAGGAACTTCCTCTTGCAACACAGGATGCTGGGAGCCTGCTCCGACGCATACAGCACGCGGCCGCTCGACAGAGAGAAAACCACCGCAAAGGAGTCCTACACACAGACACAGAGACGTGCGCACGCACATGTGGAAACACACGCACACAAGCAAGCCAAGTCACAGACACACGCAAAAGCAGTAAACACACATACACTCACACACACGCCCTGGTGTGAGGCAAAAATAAACGTGCAAATAGGTATGCAATTGTGAGTGTGTTTGAGTGAGTGTGTTTATACCGTGTTTTTAAGGGTGTGTTCAGATGTGACTCTCTCCAGCTCCTCCAGGGTGCAAACAGTGGCATCTCTCCTCTCATCCTGGCCGTTTCGCATCAGCAGTTTGTAGTATTCGCTGTTGGCTACAGAGGACAACACAAACACACACGCTGCTTTGAAACAACACCAAATGATACCAGGTTTGTTGGAGAAAAGACAAAACCATTTCAAAGCACAACACAGGTGTCCAGTTTACCTTGCACTTGTTTGACACAGTTGAGTGCGTACTGTAAGGCCTCCATAGTGCTGGCTTTGCTGCGACTGCGTTTGTCTGATGGAATCCTCTTCTTCATCTCAGCCACCGTGACCATCACCTCTCTGTGGGCCTGCCCTCTGCTACCATCTGTATTCTCACTGCTAACACACACATTCAGGTAGGTTAACTCAACAAAATGCAGTGGCATACAGAGAGGTTTTCAGCCATGATATTCAGAAACTAAAAGTTGGAGCAGATCACAAGTTCTCTGAGAGTTTGTTCCAGATATGTAATGCATTAAAACTGAATGCGGCTTCTGTTATAGTTTTGACTCTGGGTTCAGTAAGCGACTTGTCCTCGACGATCTGAAAGGTCTGGCCTTTTTATTACGAAGCAGCAGATCAGAAATGTAGGAGAAAAAAAAGTTCCTCTTTGGCTTTCACACTTCAGTCTCAGGGCCCCAGGAAGTACAACAGGCTGTGAAGCCAATTTTCGTAGTGGCCAAACAGTGTAATTACATCTGTCATGTGATGCCATGTAGTCGAAAAAGACTTTTCTCCATTCACGTACATGGCAAAAAGTCGTCTGTAAATCAGTGGGAATTTTTTTTGTTAGAATGCCTCACCTGCAGCAAAATAACTCACTATCAAGTTTTGATAGATTCATTTCAATAACATTTGGAAAGTCTAAAGAAGCTGCATGATAGAATCATTTCATCCTCATTAAAGTTAGTGGAGCGCTAAGCCGGAAGTAGCCGGCTCTGCTGGTAGAAGTCTTTGGCACACAGTGCAGAAGCAGTGCCAATCATACGGGTAATGTTACACCCAGCAGTCTAACTTTTGTGGCTTTGTGCACCACTTAGCAACTTTCATTGGCAAGAGCATGGCACTTCCTCCAATGCTGTATCCAGTTCTTTTTATACATCCATGTTTAGCCACGCTCACCTTGTCACACTTTCCTCACTTGCAAGTGTGCAGATTCTGACCAATCAGGTGCTGCCTAACGGTGAGAGCTCCGTCTGATTGGCCAGCGACTTAACAGCATATCATGTATCAGACAAAATAGCGCCTACAGATAGAACGTAATTTAATATGCTATTACTATATTCAAAGTGCAATACTGCAGTCTATCGCAATATATTTATCCTGCAAGCTGATATGCTGATGAAAGAAAAAAAGAGTAAATTGCTAGGATGTAAACAAAAGCTGCTCAAGTTGTCAACATCTTCATAGGGACACAAGCTGACATTGGTGATAGTCACCGATGCAAGCGAGAGGCAACTGCTTTAGTATGCTGTGTTGCATCTTAAAACTTGTTTTGCAGCAACTCGGGTCACTGTGGTATGATGTAAACACACGCCAATGAGTCAAGGCACAAAGGCAAATACCTCTTGGTTGACGCTGAGGTGGATCCTGTCACACTACCAGGGCTGTGATTGGCCGAGGAAGAGAGGTCATGCGATCCGCTAGTCATCTCTTCATCTTCCTGCCCCACTTCTCCACCAGAAGCTCCATTTTCCTCCCCCCTGAGGCGCTCTGACTGTTCCTCTCCGTCCTGCTGTCCTGACAACATCCTCGTCTCCTTTTCTCCTCCTCCTCCTCCTCCTGTGGCTGACAGTGATGCAGGCTCCTCCCCATCTGGACCACTGTCACCTCCAGGCATCGCCACGCTTTGGTCACACATCAATAATAATTTGTCCGGTTACAGTGGTCAGTAGGAGTCTTTATGTGCTCAACGAGGGGAATGGGTTCCATGTGGTGACAATAAATTAGTGTTCATTCAATCAGTGCTGAAAGTAGGATGTGAGGATCTTTCTTAAGCACTGTAAGATAAAGGAAATAAAGAGAGATGATGACAAACAGCATCAAAACAAAAGGTTCACAGGACTGAATTCACAACATGGAACAAATAACTAATGTTATATGTGACAGAAAAAAATAATCTGGGAAGTGTGGAGCTTCATTAAAAGACGTTTTCAAAAATTCCTGTTATAATGTTAAAAAAAGACCTGTAAAAAAAAAAAGACAAGGATGCTAGAGCCTCAGGGTTTGTGAGGTAAAAAGTGTTACAGCAGAGATTGCATGTTTATAGCAGTATCTTCCATTTTCTCACATTTGAAGGTGTGAGAAGGCTGGTTTGTTTAACAGGCAGTGACCAGAGTGTGACTGTGAGGAAACAGAAACCAGAAACACTAACACCTGGGGGGCAGGTATGACAAGTGCATTCGTCCGGAACCATTTGGTAGAGGCCGTTCGGTTCAGTATGCTACATCCTCAGTCATCCACGCACCTTGATCCAAAACAATTACTGTCAAAATAGTATTCTTATGTCTTGGAAAATTGGACCATTACTGGACGTTACTAGAAAAATAACTTGAATTAATAAATACAAAATTATCTTATTTAATATATTTCATTCCGTTCCTTGTAAACAATACGGCATCACCATCACAACAAATCATCATGCATGTTTCATTTTACTGTCCGGCCATTCTGTCGGACTGTGTGTTTTTCACTGTCACAAGTCACCATGTGAAAAACCCCCTACTGGGGAGGTAATGACCAAGTCACTACACCTGCAGAGCAACCTGCTCAAACCCCTGCAGACACATTATGCTTCTTTTGTACTATGACACCGTAAAATGTTCCTCATTATCCCTTTACAAGTGATAATCAGTGATCATTGTGTCAGTAGGTTTAACAGGTTGTTTTGCAGCTGTGAGTGGTAACACAGATGATTGCATTCCATTTAGGTGTGCTAGCGTCAGGATGGCTTCAACTGGGACACTGCAGCGTAACTGTTCAATGTAATTAGTTACACCTGTGCATTTCCTGCTACGACTTATCAAAAAGTCTGCCATTTAAAATGTGTGCAAGCAAAACAAGTCTGATATGGCAAAAGCTCCAAATGTAAAAGCAAAAAACAAAAACGTAGAACCTCATATGAACAACTGAAATTGTCTGTGTTGTGCTGTAATATTATGTTTTTCATTTCTAAAATGTGAACAAACACAATCTGCCTTGTTATCTAATACTATTGTACTATCCGACTGTCAAACTGACTCACTGCTTTCTGACTCATCAGCTACGATTCACACATATGAGCACATTTCATCCATCAATACTGCCAGCACCAGGTACAACCCAGCCAGAGCCAGCCTTTGCACACCACCAATAACACAATAATAATGTGATACTCCGCAGAATAATAGCCGAGAAATTTTCTTCCATCTCACCTCCAAACCAAATGCAGCTCAAATCCTCTGCAGACACTCAGAAGTGACATCTTATTTAATGTTTACAGACAGAGGGACCCATCCCACATGGGTTTAAATTCACTGTATTTATAATTCAAAATAATTGGTTTTATGATGTATCTCTTCAGAAAGCAAACATAACATAATGAAACATTACAGAGAAAACAAAGGCAAACCATTTGCCTTCTCTAGCCTGCCTTTTTTTCCGATCTTTTTTGGCCATCCAAATATCAGTTACAAAAAATAAACAAAAGCTGCTGTTACTATCACAAACACAGCAGTGAGTCAAGATAAGTGAAACACAGACAAAGAGGGAGACACACTGAGAGATTAAAAACACGAGCCAGTGAAAATATCCTGCGTCGTTCAACAGGTCGTCACTGCAGGATTACATAACCAGCTTGCTCAATTCAGAGCATATAAGCCATCCTCCTATTACTTGAGACATTACATATATTGGTGCTGTGTGCGTAAAACACAAAGACGCAACCCCGTGATCAACAAACCCGTAAATAATGCCCTGGCCTTAATTTTACAGCACATTAACAGACTTGATAAGGCCATGGTCAAGGTGCAGAGGCAGGTTAGTACCTCGTCCTTTTCTCCCCCACTTCTCAGGGGGGAAAAGCGTGAGTTTGACTTCTTGTTCAAAGCACGCTGCAATCTAACAACTTCAGTTAAGTTGCACCACAAAAAAATGGTGACTGGAACATACTATCATTCCAGATTGACTGACCAGTCATTTACTATGATGATCGAAAAATAAATAAAAAAATATGAATGTTTCTTGACACTGTAAGGGATTTGTATATGTCAATAATGCTTGTAGACATAGGAGTAATATTCATACTTAAAAGTTGAGAGACAAAAGATTTGCACAAAGGTAAACTGTTAAATTGCTTTTCATCTTATATGGCTAAAACAAAAACAACATTTATGAATGGAACTTTAAAGTTTAACAAAAAGTTAAACTTTAAAAAGGACAGGACTGCACATTACTCTGCTTTTAAGAGTAGAGCTTCGATTGACCTACTGGGGGGTAAATAAGGCACTTCAGGCCAAGTGGGAATTGCAACATCTACTACTACTACACTGAAATTCCAGGTCAAAGAGCCATGTGCCATGCAGTGTTTGTGCTCAAGTCAACTGAATTGTGTCTCCTAACTGACCTCTGTCTGTCTCTATTTTTTTTAAATGTTTGTTTGATAGCTTAATATGTATTTTTTGGAAACTATCAACTTTCACTGCATATGGATGCGACAACGTAGAGGAAAAAACTCCCCCAAAAGCTTCTCAGACATACTCAAATCATCAAAATGATCTGAACCATCTCTGGTTGAATAAAACCAGGCTGGGCTGAGCCATACTTACATGTATTAACACAACACCAATGCACACAAAATTCCTGCAAACACAGAAGTAAAAGCCTAGCGAGATATACATCCCAGGACAACAACAATTGCTAATGATTTCATAGTACTATAAAATGGTATTTGCAGACTGGCAAAATGTAAATGTGGTCTGTCTACACCTCAATTTTTCCATTTATTTCTTAAGGTAAAATGCCATACATGGGTGAAAATGACTGACCTCTGACAGCAAGTTAAATATTTATGGGTTGAGGTACATACAGCCAGAAGTAGTACAGTGAGCCTGTAAGTGCACCTAAATATAGGTCACCTTAAGAAGCCAGGATTATCACTTCAATAAAGTAAGCATACACAAATACACCTGGTATGAAAGAGGATTTAAAGTCATCCCTCATATCTGTTTTACATGCCTTCATCCACGAGACAAAAGGAACTTTTCAGACCTCGACCACAGCCCCTCAACCTGTTCCTATTCAAAACAAACCTGACACTCATTTGACGGCTAACCACCCCCTCCCAGTATGAACCCAGTAACCTCAGTAAACCCAGTAACCACCACTAGCGTTGCCTGTATATGTTAAGGAGATCCTGGCAGCCACTGCTCCACTAAAACTAAAGCACAGCCATTATAACATAATTAAAATGACATTATTGTGTATATTGCCACACAGCTGACCAGCTACAAATGGCAATTAGCGACAAATAATAATATAAATACAGAATATGAACATTAGTAAATGCTGGTACTGGCAGGACTGTAAATAAGCTCAGTTATTACTATGTAATGCGGTCTGATAGCTAGCCGGTGTGTTAGCTAATATGATAACACTTGTTATTCATGCAATGTAAGCGTGTCAGAGCAACATTAGTTACAATCTAATAGTGGCTCTCTAAGCGCCACTGCAGCCCCTTGACTTACAGTGTGGCAGACATGTTATTTAGCACACAGTTACATATTAGCCATACACACTACTGACCACTGCTTGCAGCCAAGGCATTATTCACTGTTTGGAGATGTTAGTGTCCTGGGACTACACAATAAACACTTACAAAAGTATGCTGGGACTAAAGAACACGAGACAACGATTACATTTCATGTGTTTACATCCTCTGTTCTCTGTAGTTGGTGCCGTGGGTGAGGTGGCTAACGTTAGCTTAGCTTGTTTAGCCAACTCGCTACCGACACCTTCTTCGGCCCTTTGCTAAAATATTTACCTTTTCGACTCCAGGTGTGTGTCCGCTTCAATATCCGACAAATATCATTCTATGAAATTGATAAGCCGTATAATAGGTACATATATTTCTTAAAATTATGTCCCGGGTAATAACAGCTAAGCCGTCATCTGTTCCGAAGCGCTTGACACATTTCTGCAACGTGAAGCGGCCGCAATTAACCCCGCCCACTTCACAATGATTGGACAGACGAAAATTGCATCTGTCGTGTGATTGGTCAGAAGACCTGGCAGTGGGCGTGGGTAACATAGCGGTTTGTCATGGCTTGCTGGTGGTTCACGTGGATCCCCATGTTACACAACAGAGAGACAACAAGCCCACATGTGGGCCGTGCAAGCAGACTCACTATAAACCCGCTGCATCAGACCCTATACTACTGAATGAATGAACAGAGCCGCTATGAGGTTCAGCTGATGCACGTCACACATCTTGATACCTTTGATAAAAACATAATAAAAAATTGACATAATGATTGTTGAATGTAATGGCAAGAATCACAAGAAAATGGGCAAAATTGATGATTGGTTTAATTGTAGTGGTTTGTGGTTATTTGCCTTGGCCTTTGGTAAATATTGTTGGATTTTTTAGGACTGGTCAGTTAAAAAAATGATTAAAAATGCAACCTGTGAATCTGACAACAGTATGATACAGTGATTGTATCATACTGTCATACTGTCAGTCTGTTGTACATTTGGATTACTGACTGGACAAAAGCATGTATCTGCCCCAGTGCCTCAGACCCTCAGGGGGTCAAAAGGCTCAAGGTTCATCATGGGATATTTGTAGTAGTAAGATTAATTTCAATAAGGATCAGTTGAGGCCCACAGCTTATTTTTGCCCCAGGCTCACCTGGAGGGCCAACCCAGCCTTGATGGCAGTAATCTGCACAAATACTTTTTGAGTAATATTACATGTAAAAATAATAGTGACAAAAGCAGAGTTATGAAAAGCAATCAGTTAATCTCATGGGGCTGGCTAATATACGGTTTAAAGCTCTTGGGAGAAAGCTAATGAGGTAAACAGGTGGTGCTGGTAATAATAGACCACAACCCCCTTTTTCTGTGGAAAGTTCTCAGTAATGATGTAACACATGACAATTGTTCTTATAATCTTTTTGGTGTCAGTGACAGTGAGATGCTCAGCAGTGTGGATGATCTTTGATTTAGTGAGGAGGTATATATCTTGGCTGTATCCTGCTCCTACAGAGGAATGACGGACAATATAGCCGTCTACAAAGGGTGGAAGAAACTGTGAGACAGCAAGCCGGCAAGCTGCTTCTAAGAAGAGTCACAAAAAACACTGATGAAGCTTTGTTAAGTTAAATCGGTTTTATTCAAGCAAAAGGCATTAAAGGGCCAAAGTGTAGAATTGCACTTATTTCCAAATGCATCCCCAGTGGGCTGGCATAAGCATGGGCGGGAAGTCACTGGGTCTTAAAGAGGATGATGACAATTCCATATCTGTGATACAAGCCTGGTCTGCGAAAGCATTCCCAGTGGTCTTTGAAGATATTTAACAGTTTCCTTAATGACTACAGTCTGGCTAAAACTAAAACTGTCTAAAGAGTCCATCCTTGTATTAGTGTTCATTTTAATAAACTTTGTATCATGCATACACTGTAAAGGCCAAATAATTGCTTCTGTCTTATAAACTACTGAAAAATGCAATTGCAGAAATGAAATTCCAAGCAGAGTGAAATCAATATACAAAGTAATCCCAAATTGTTTATCTCATTAAAATACATTTATTTTAATAGGATGGAGGCAACAGCAGGGAATGCAATCATCCAGTGTTGGTATACAACACTGTCATTTCCCAGTAAGTCATTTCTCTACACTCAAACACTCATATTGCTCAGCAGCAGCAGCAGCAGCGAGCCCCTACACAAAAAATCCTTTAGTCTCCCTAAGATTAGTTCTACACATAATAGATTGCAAAAAAAAAGCTACAGTTAGAAGCATAATAAAACTACAATATCACACATGTGAAGTACGTTGCATTGATGAGGTGGGATAAATGCCAGTGTGACTAAACAAAAGATTTTTATTACAGGTTAATATGTTCAGTTGACGAAGCAAGAAGCACAGTATTTGTTTGGACAGTTCAGAAGGCACTACTCTTTTACTGGCTGGTATATATGATCAATAAGGCCTGGCTGTATTTTGGCTGTTCTCCACTGGAGAAACCTATTAAGGCATCTGTATGAACATTTTCTTACTTTTGTGAGCTCAAATATATAAAACAAAGGCAAATGTTCTGGCACGAGCACCAGATTGAGACAATTCGACACTCTAAACCCAGTGTAGCACTTCTTTCTAGCCTAGCCTAGGCTAGAGGCTGTATGTCTAAGCATAAAGCCACTTACCAAAACACAAGCTCATACTAGTTTCTACTGTAACTAAGCCCTACCTGCAAAGGAAGATGGACATGGTCAGGTATGATCTGTGGTTCAACAGTGAGTTACTGGTTAGCTTGTTTGTTGTTGGGTGACCAATGACATTGTTCTTTATTTAATCCAAAATCAACTGTCTAACATGGAGAACTCACTTAGCACTGAACAATGTGCATAAATAAAACAAGGCATCAGATCCCACCATTACCTGGTCAACTGTAGCCATTCATAAAATGACAGACCAGCATTTTTTTTTTTTTTGAAAAAATGAGGAGAAAAATCAAAATATAGGCATCTGACAGAACAAATGTAATTATGCTAAAAAGGAGCATCTTCAATAATCTCTACAAACAGATATCTGCATATGTATGCAGATATCTGTAGGAAACAGTACAAGATTTTGGTATCAGAAGCGTTCTGGTTTGTAGTCTTAGTATTGACCAGTCCTGTTTGAGCAGGCTTTGGTTGCCTACAGGTAAGCTGTGTGGAGAACAAAAGAGGTGGAATGCATTTGCCAAAATGCAATCTTAAAACCCATTGGCTAACGTCTGACAACACATTAGCTTTTTTTCCTAATTTATCTGCTTTCATATGCAGATATCTGTTTATAGAGATCAGCAGACATGTTGTCTGGACCTGTCTGGAGCTGCTAATCAAACTGTACACAATAACCAGCACGCAGGAGAGGAGGTCTTGGCCCAGATCGCTACTGGATGCACTGGATCTCCCAAAATATTGGCTGTTATCCCCAAAGGCTATATTGTCATCAGACGGTAGGTGACGAGTTCAGAGATTGTCTCTTCAGTGATATGCAGGGTTATTGTTACAATCTGGATAAACACAGAATAGCACATCCTTAAAAGCACTTCTCTTAGCCTGGCACACAAAATCAATGGCTATTAATAAAACATAAAAAAAGTAAATATAAGCTGAGGAGAGTTTACAACAACATTCTTCACTTCTAGTCCTGAGGTTGGAGTATATGTGTGTGTGCTTTGATTTCTTAATAGGTTGTGTTTGACTTTAATAATCAACGTTTCTCTTTTCTTTGGCAAGTGGCATGGAACTCTCGGACAAGTTTAAAGACGTCTGGTATGGTATAGTAATGCAGTGTAAAACAGGTATCATGACAATCCTTTACTCAGGCACATGCACAAGCACACACACACATACACACACACGGCAAACCAGGACAAGGAATGAAGACCTCCTGCCAAGGAGAAAAAATGTGTGGAGCTCAGTAGCCAGTAATCACATGAGGTCTTCTTTGAGACATTAATTATGTACGTTGCTCCTCTCCTTTTCTTCATTTTGTCCTCCGCCCCTCCTCGTCCTGTTGCTTTTTTAGGAGTAACTCCAAACTGTGAATGAAGTAGGTAAGAACTTTTTAGATGAAAGACTTCTATGAATTAGCTTTACCAAGCAATGTCAGTAAATGCACTAACTTACAACAGTATCTCTAATTAAAACATACTATATATTCACATGTAGTTTGTAGATATCAACAATCCAGATATATATTATTATAAGTACACTTTATATTAGGTGTCATGAGCAGTAACTCATTTAAAATCATAGACACTGTCGACACTGTGAATGACAAGCGTCTCTAAGCCCAGGTTTGATACTCACTAACAATGATGAGGATGATGATCACTATGACAGCTATCAGGATGGCCCACATCTGTAAGGAGTAAAGATAAAGTGAATCAGTGCCACACACGTTACTTGGAATTAAGATGTCTGTTTAGTAACAGAAAAGTCCACTATCACTGGTTAGACTTTTTGTTTACAATATAACTACTTTATGTCTGTTTTTGTGTTCATTGTAGATCAGTTAGTGTTATTCTCATGCACAGTGGGAAAATGGATGTGTTTTCTGGACCAATCTGTGTGAAGGCACCTTGCAGTTCTTCCACCAGTACTTCCTTTTCAGCTTTGCAGCGCTGGTCTCGAACTGGGAGGCTCCAGCCTGCAGTGCGTCTGCTCTGTCATCCAGTTCGGACAGCTTCTGGTCACGTTCCAGCACCTTGTCCACATTTACACGCATAATATCCACCACCTAGTCACACACACATTACCACACACACAAACAAGAATAAAACACTTGGTTTAACATCAGTCTTGTTCAAGTGACTGTCCCCTGGTGTCCTGGATCTGAATGTTTGGCTAATCCAGACTAAACCTCATTAAAGATCAACCTCACACTGCTATAAAGCAGAGCTACATTTTCAAAATACACACATATTATTCTTATGGTCTAAGAGAGTCCAAGAAATATAAGTAACAATGTAAAACTCTCTCCCAAATCCCAAATCCCAAAACTAGAGTGCTAAAACTCAAATTACTGATGTCAAAGGGTATAAAATTAAGAGGTGCTCCATAGATAATGAATTGGGGAAGATATTATAGATGACACTGAGAGCACCGGGGGGAGTGTTCTGAGTATATGGATATATTTCCGTTTCAGAACTGAGCTCATTTGGACATAAAAAAAGGCCCTAACATTCTATGTGTCCACAAAATCAGGCTTTCATTCACTGTCTCTGGAGCAGCTCCAGACTTTACACCCTATGACATCACCAAGTTGAGACTTGCGTCACTGTTTTCTGGCTCTGAGAGAGATAGAGTAGCTCATATTAACTAATACTGATTGAACTTTCCTAGACCATGGAACAAACATAGTGAAATTGTTCTTTTAAGTGATGCTCTCCTTTAATTAGTTATTTTAGAATTAACAGATTGGAAATATAACCA